GAAAAAGTCTGTTCCCCATGGCCTTCTCCCAGGAAACAAAACCTTTGTTGTACACAATGACACTTAAATGTGCTGTTTATCAATAACTGGGAGCAGTATCATAATAGCCGAGAAATGCTTCTAACATTTCCACACACGACTCAGACATTTTAAAACATCAATGAACCCAAATAAAGTTTCTATGCTATATCACTCTCTTCTCTCTCCCTTTTATATTTTTGTTCTTGTCAATAAATCCCATTAAAAAGCCAAAACCAACAATGAATTGATTCAAAATAAGTTTCGTCTGTGTGGCCTGACATATCGCATTCCTCTGTGGCACAGAGCTCTAAACTATGAAAAACAGCCAGACTGTTGCACCAGGTGACACATTTCTTCATTACAACTGAATTGAATACTTTGTTGTTGCATGTGTACACAAGGAAAATTAGTTTGGCTGGGTTCCCCAAGCAGCAACATGATCAGTTACAATGCTACATATGATATTCTCTTGCCAGTAGTATTAGTACTAAAAGACATGACACAAAGAACATTATTAACTAGAGAAATGCATTTCCTGTCAAAAATGCATGTGGATGCTGACATGTTGAAAGATCGTCCTGAAAATGCCTGAAATCAATTGTTGAAACAGCTGAAGGATGAGAAGAAATGGCTGAAGTTCTTTGTTGAAAAATCTGAAGGATGAGATGCAATAAATACAAGTAGGAATGTCCACGAAGAGCTGAACATTTTGATACCTGAATGGCTTTTCTAACTGAAAGTATGCTGAACTTAAGGTGTGGAAATATTCCAAATGGTCCCCACAAAGTAGGTAAAACAAGTAGGTGTGTAAGTGAGTGAGTGGAGTTATGAAGTGCCATGTCTCAATTGCACTGCATTTTATAGACCACCAGATGGCACTCCAGGACCGTGTCACTGAATCAGCACTTTGAGCTTCCGTTGACTTCTATTGTAAACAAAAAGCTGAATAAATTAAAAAGTATAAACTTTATAAAAAAGAAAAATACAAGCAAGGAATGTCCTTGAAGAGCTGAACAGTTTGATACCAGAATGGCCTGTATAGCTGAAAGTATGCTGGACTTATAAAGTGCCAAAAAATGGACGGGAGATCCCAGAATAATCAGGAGAACATAGTGTGGATGCTGTACAAAAACAAATTAAAAACATTAAAAATTGGTGGAAAAGACTGAATTAGCAGCCTGATAACTGAATGGTTATAATCAGTCATTTTGGACAATACACTTAAGTCCATATGTGGCTTCTGTAAGAAATTAACAGCACTCAGGTTGAAACTATTTTTAAGCCTGTTGGTTCTAGGTTTAACAGTTTGTAGTCTGTGTTGGATGAATAAATGTCCTGCATCTGCTGAAGAGGCAATCCAATGATCCTCTGTGGTGTCTTGATCACGTGATGCAGGCCATCTTTCTGTGCAGTTCGAGTACCATACTGTGCAACAGCTGGACCTTTTTGATCACACAGGATGTGTTCAGGCTCCAGGTTAGGTCCCCAGAGATGGGTACTTCCAGAAACTTAAAGCTGTCGACCTGTTGCACCTTTTCTCTGTTGATGTTGAGTCATACAGTGAACATCGGTACTGTAGTTTAGTGTATTAATCTGCGGCTGAATATTGTCCAATGAAAACTACATTGCACTGCTGCTTGAGGAGATTACTGAGCTTGTTTTTTGTGACCTTATTTTGAAAGAAAATGGGTGCGAGACTGAGTGGTATAGACAGGGAAGCAAGTTGGAACATACTGAGAGACAAACTAATGCATTGTTGGTTTTGGTCTATGTAATGGATTTGTTGACCAAAAAAAAGAGAAAAATTAGGCGCTGACCACATCCTTTGGCATTCTTTGAGATTTTCACCCCTTGCTGCCAAAATAAATGAACTGCTTCAAGACCAGAACATGTATTAAGCCAACTGATAAGGGTAGGATGTCCTGCATTTCAAGATGCTTTCATCTCTTCAAAGAGGAAAAATGTGAAATTAAAATGTCTCAGATTTTTCTCTCTGACTTAAGAATGAACACCTGAATAAATGACCATTTATGACCTGCTTTCTTCATTCCTGAGAAAACCGCCATTTCACAGATGCAAGGCTTTCATATGCAACAGCAATGGCTACAGTGAGATGAAGGTAGGAAGAGCTGAGGTCAGTTAGTCCAGATGTGTTCTTACTCTGCTTAGTACTGCTTTTAGTAGCGACAGTGTTGCTCCCTAGCGGAGCGGCAGGCATGGACGACTGTGAGAGCTCAGAGTCGGGGCAGGAGCTGTTGCCTGTGCTGTTCCATGCCATGCGCTTTACATCATGCGGTGGAACTGAAACACACAACGAATGGTCAGCACACACAAACAGCAAGGATTGTTGACAACATGACAAATGTACATTTGACCACCTACACGCACACGCACGCGCGCACACACACGCACGCACACACACACAGCTCATGCAGTTAAAGAAGTGACAAAATTGGACAAGAGACAAAGGTGGTGTGGGTTAGTAATCAATAAAATTAACAGGACAAAGAGTGCTGGGTTTATGACAGACATGCAGATGGGTAACGTGAAGACAGGATGTCAGCTGGAAGCGAGATCGGTGCAGCTCTGATCGTGATGCTGTGTGAAGTGGAAGTCACTTAACTGCCTGCTCTGCTCGCATCTACTCTACTCTTAATGCTCACATACATTAACAAAGCTTCCTCTGATGAACTGCAGCACCCAGCAAAGAGAGGATCAAAGTCACTGTTTGTTATTTGCTTGTGTTATGCCTGTGGGGAAATTCAGCATGTTCAGGAAGGAAGAGACCATAGCATCGTTCAATAATGAAAGCAACAGGACAAGAACAAGAGGACAGATTTGGGGGGTAAAGATGAGAGAAGTGAAGAATGTGTTTTAGACAGAAATTAGAGAGAAGTTTAAAGAATGCAACAGAGACTAAAGAGCAGAGAAAATGTGATGACCAAGAGAAACATAATGCTCTATGGTGTGCATGGTTCCAGTCATGTCAGACTGGGAGTTTAGGACACACAGCTGCACGGTGAGCAAGGCTTCCTCCCTCTGGAGCTATCACATTAGGAGGACAAGGGGATAGATGCAGTGATTGAATTGAATCATTAAGAAACACACATACAAACACACACACTAATTTCAGGGTTCCCACAGTGGCCCTGATGAAAAATTCCATGACTTTTTTTTTTTATGATTTCGCAACTTAGGTCAAAAAGCCCCTGTGTTCGGAAAAAATTGCCCCTTCTGTTCTTAACGTTTCTTCTGAGCACAAAGAAATTAAATTCACCTCATGAAGCAGTTAACTGCAGTCTTGCTCTTTATATGTGACAAAACGCACAGTACAATGGATACACAACAGCAGGGAATGACCATATGCAATTAGTGTGTAAGACAAGTTGTAAAATCCATTCTAGTAATGCCTCCCTGTTACAGAAACGTTCCAGTTTATTACAACTCGGCTCTTCTTTTCCTAGTTGTGGCTTTTTACTTTTGATAACACTGCATTCAAAGTAACAGCTGAGACCTGTGAACACTGTAAAGCTTCAACACAAACTGAACATCACCAGCTTCATGAAGGCTTTATTGCAGGGCTGCTACATTACACTGTGCTAGTGTACCTAATAAACTGCCAACTGAGTGTATAGACATATATTAAAGGGTATTTTAACAATTTGTTAAAATCACAATCGCACTAACAGCTCATAATAGTTTCTCAAAATCTTCCATATTCTCATCAAATTATTTCTCTTAAAAAAAAAACAAAAAACATTTAGCCTCTTTGGGGCCAAATGATGGGTCAAGCATCATTTCACTTGAATATGGAGCTTCCACAGGAATGCTCACCCCTTCTTTGGCACAGTTCATTGTGTAGTGGTAACTGGTTTACAGTTGGGTGTTTTTGCTAAATTGCTGTGAACATAAAATGAGCCAGGTAACTGTAAATAAGCCCGTACTTTTGCAGATTTGAGCTCAGACAACAGCAGCAGATGAAGCTTAAAAACAGACTTGAAGAACTGAACAATCCAGACATGTGCTGAAATAATCTACAGTTAAATTGAACCAGTTCAGCTGATGTTAATTAGTGATGTCCATCTCTTCAGATCTCAGCAATTAACTTGGCAAGTACAATGTTATCACTACCAATAGTTATGAACAACAATTTTATATTCAAATTGTAATAACCCAAATTGCTCTTTAAATAAATTAAATCAGTACAAATATCAATAAAAATTAAACCATGTACTTCCTTGATTACATAAAATTGTAATAAGGTCAGTCATTTTCTAGATTAATAGTACTTTCAACACTCCTAATATAGAGACTAAAACCAACAATAAACTTCTTACGGTCACAGTTAATCTCTGACTCTTGTTTACTTCACACGCTGTAGAATGTTTTGGTCATTTGAAGCTTCTGGGGCAACATTTTTAACAAATATGCGGGTCTGGTGTTGGATACTGAACAAACGTGTCACCCAGAGCAGTTTGTGTTTGCCTGATGTGTTTTTAATCATTTTTGAAGAACGGAGGTTTATGGCACAGACAAATAAGCTAAATACTGTTAATACAGAAAATGACCAGCTTTATCATTTAAAAACTAAAACACTATGCTTTAGTTACAATTCAATGGTCCAAAACCAGTGGGAACCCCCAGGAAAAGCTTGGTGGATCAGAGTGAGGGAGCTAAAAGATGTAAGACACCACTGCCAGTGACTACAAGAAGCCGGGGTGGGAGTGCGAGATGAGTGGGTGGGTCCTTGCCAGGGGTGACCTTATAGCTTCTGGTGGCCATGGATAAACTTACTGGCAGGTGAGGTTTGAGGTGAGGGCAGTAGTGGGGGCATCTCCTCTGTGGCACTGCTCAGACTCAGCGCCGAATTGTCCGCTAGAACACGCACAAAACGCAGCCAGACACACAGTAAATGCACACATACATTCATACACCACAGGCACAGAGTCAGTGTGAGAGACGCGTGTTGCATCTCAACACAAAGGCCAGTCACTACAGTCAAATACACACTTTACTCGATGTGAGACAGAGAAAGAGAGAGTGGATAAGAACAGGAAAAAGGGAATAAAACTGGTGAGTACCTTTCCTACCTTTCATTTCCTCCTCGTCGTTGGTGGCGTTGCTCTCTGTTGATCCCTGGAGTGCAGAGACAAACACAAAGAATCTGATATTGACAAAGCCAGCATATAGACCAAAGAGCGAAGCAGTTGGTTGATGCTCAGACTTTCAGACAGACAAAAATCTTACCTTGACTCCATCGGGAGGGTTGTGCACCACTGTGCTCTGAGACTCCTGCGACCCAAAGCAGAACAGTTAGTCCAACATATCACCATCCGGACTCACCAGTGCCTCTCAACTGGGCTTCTTATTGTACTGACCAAACACAAAAGCCCACAGCTAGGGCTGGGGGTGAAATCATCATTTAGGTCTGCAACTAACAGTTATTTTCATTATTGATTCAACTGCAATTTATTTGTTTAAGTCTATAAAAAAGTCAGAATACAGTCAAAACTGCTCAGCAGAAATTTCTAAAGCCAAAGGTTGATGTATATAAATAGCTGATTTTGCCCCAAACCCAAAAACTAATCATTTTTCTATCAAAGACAACAGAACTAAACTAAAGCATGGATCAGGCTGTATATTTCTGTCCGAACCCAACCTGTGTCTGAGAGTGTGGCATCTGAAGTCGACTCAGACTTGACAACCTCATAGTATATAATGTCTGAACCAGACCTCAGCTTGACACAGTTCAATTTGTACAGTGTTCTTCTGTCCGGCCTAGAGTTTGACCTACGTATCTGAAACGGACCTGGATCGGAACATAATTTCTAAATTTCTGTCCGAACCCATCAAGAACCTTCAAGTCCCAACGGGTCCCATCAGTCTTGGTTTGGGCATCTACACTCTAAGCTGAATAACAAATATTTGTGGCTTAAAAGCTGAAATCAGCAAATTATTGCAATTTCACATTACAATTAAAAGTTCATTTTAATTGATTATTAAGATTCTTGCCATTTAATTTTCTGTCGATCATTTTAACATTTCATTTTTCACTGGAATTGTATTGTGATGATATAATCATAACCATGCTTCTGTTTTAGCTCAATATAATTGAGAAAATGTCTATCAAAGCTAAGAAAACTGTTAGACATTTGTTTTACAACTAATCATTTAATCCCTAATTTCATCTGACATACTACTCAAGTGCACTACAGTTATTTGCAATGAATATATATTTTAAAATATATTATGCATAAATTGACAACACAAAAATCTAATAAAATATACCTATTAATGCCAATTTTTACTTTACTTCTGGTTGCTGCACATCCAATTGAGAAGCACTATCAAACCAGAGTGTATTATCCAGCCATACCACTACAAGATGTCATATGTAAAGCATGTTATAACAGCGTGCTAGCACTCAATAAGAACACAGTGATTAAGCTTGGCAGTATGGTAAGGATGCTAGTGGGGATGGTAAATGCTTGGCAAGATAAACAAGTGTGAGTGAAAAAGATGGATGGATGTGGTTAAAAAAAATGTGGCTGACATAATAAGGTGTTGGCTTTAGTGAGAAAGTTAAAGAACAGCTGGTTTAGCATGGGAGGGAAGGATTATATACAGAGAATAACAGAGGCCATTACAATACGACTAAATTCTTCTTGGATATCAGCTGTAGCTTGCTGAACCAGGACTCCACAGTTCTCTGTGCTGCCACTCTAGAGGCACATAATCCTGAAGATAAGGACATGCTCCTAACAAATCTAAAAGGTGCACATGTGCAGCCTGAGATTCAAAATAATGACAAGCATTTTTTCTCCATTTACAAAAAGTGTCTTTTCTCCTTAATTTAAACTCAGGTACACATGTGCACTGCCCCAATTTTGCCCTGCACACGTGTGGAGGGTAAAAGGGCCAGAGGGTGGGTAATGCTGGGATTGGGAATGTTAAGGTGCAACACCTCCTGGATGGTAGTTGAAAGATGACAGGGACTGACTATGACAATGGAGGATGATGCACAAAGGGCTATGATGCAGCTACTTGGAGGACGAGGTTAAGAGACATGAACTGATACTGTGGTGGCCTACTGTACCATCTGGGCGTTGGTTGCCATGTTGGTGTCTTTCAGGGCATTGATGGCGCTCACTATACTGTTCTTACTGTTGTTGGTAGAAGGCTGAGGCGAGAACACAAATACTCCAAGTGAACACATACGTTACACAAACGCACAGAGATGCATCAGAATCACACGCCTTTTAGGGCCAATGTCAGTCAGGGCTCCCAAGCTGCTGAGATCTAATAGGGTAAATGAGAGGGTGCGTGCCACAGAATGGAATCTAGATCATCGTTTTTACTGCCTCACTAACCCTCTATGCCTCCACCACTTAACTGCACAGACCGACCCCTGGGGCAAAGGAGAAAGAGAGGGAGGCAGGAGGAGGAGAGGTTAGAGAGATGCTTAACAGCAGCAGAGAGTGATGC